CTCCCCTGGGGAGGGGGGCAGCCCCAGCACTGCAGGAGCCATCCTCCCCCTGGCTCTCCTAGGGGAAGCAGTGCCGTGTTCTGCCTGTTCACTGGGACCCCCGGTGCCCCCACCCAACACGGTGCTGGGGAGGACAGAAGTGGGAGCTGTGGGTGTACCCAGGAGACCCATGTGCATCACTCCCAGCCCCAGCTGCACTGAGACCACTTGCTGATGAGGCAGAGAAGCTTTAATGGCCCGCCGCTCCCTCTCTCCCTGCTGTGCTCAGTCAACCACCAGGCTGCTGCTGACCGCCGGCAGGAGCTCGAAGAAGCCCTGGAAGGAGATAAGCTGTCAGGGTGGGCTGGGCAGGGCAGGGTGGGGTTGGGGGACAAGCAGCAGCTCCCTGCCAGGTTACACACACACAAGGCATCACAGCAGGCAGCTACGCACAGAGATCAAGACCACGTCGCCATAGAAACCTATCGCTGACTCAAGGCTAGTGCCGGTTGCTATAGAAACCATTTGAGGATGGCAGCCGTCAGGGAGGGCTGAGATGGCTGGGCTCAGCCCCAAGGTGGGGGCTGGATGAGGACATTGGGATGTGAAAGGTGTGGAGCAGCAGGGCTTCAGTGCAGGACAGGGAACACGGGGCTCACCTTGAAGAGGGTGATGCTCTGGAGCACACCCGAGGTACAGCACATCTCCCGGATGGAATGCATGGCGAGCTGCGGGCAGCCAATGTCCAGCACGCGCAGCCCCAGACGAGACGCCAAGATGGGGCCGATGGTGGTGCCGCAGGGTGTGTCATTGCGCACCATGAACTCCTGCACGGGGACATGGCCTCAGCAGCTCCCCACACTGCCCACAGCCTCCCCCAGGCCTGAACGGAGACAGCCTGGCACAGGGAAGCAGCACCACCCCCAAGCAAGTGTACAAAATGCCCCAGAGATGGGACATGCTCCCAGAGCAGTGGAGACAGACAGGGTAACTGAAGCCAGGAGCAGTGCTGTGGCCCAAGCTAGTAACATCCACAGAGGGCTTGCCCAGCCCCGCTCACCTGCAGAGGGACACCCACACGGGTGGCGATGTCCCGGATGATGGCTTCAGTGACAGCAGTGGAGGCGTAGCGCTGGTTGCTGTTCACTTTGATGACGGGGCCCTGCACAAGGGAAGGCACCGCAGGCCTGCGATTGGCACCGGGGATAGTCGATGGCTCTGGAAACACCTGTCTGTGCGCAAGCAGCGCTATCCTGCCCCAATCCAGTAGCCCGTTCTCCCCTCCCTGGGTGACCCATGGGGGATAGGGACTAGCTCAGACCAGGGAAGGGCTTCAGGGCCAAGGTTGTGGTCCCAAGTGATTAACACCAGGCATGGCCAAATTGTGCCATAGGACAAACATCTCCTGTTTGAGTGCCACTGAGTGGCACACCAAGGCTGTGCTCCAGGGAGTGGCTGAGCATTTCACAGCACTGCAGGACAGACAGACAATGCCCAGCCCAGCCCAGCGCAGAGGTTTGCCCACACCTTGTGGAAAGCTGGACGATGATTCTCCTCATGCTTGTCCCTGCAAAACAGAAGCAGAAGTTTTGTGCTACAGATCTCCCTCCCTGCCGCAACAAGGAGTCCTGTCTGTATCCCTAGGGAATGACAGGACAGGCTCCCCCAGCTGGCAGGACAGACTGCCACAGCTCGCCGCAGTGCTCAGGTACTCACACGTAGTTAGGGTGCACAGCGTGAGCCATATCAGCACTGATCATGTAGGACTTTGCCACAGCCTCCTCGAAGGCTGTCAGGTTCTGCGGTGACGCTGAGATCCGGCGCAGCACCAGCTCTGTCAGCAGGGACTCTGCACCCTGTGCACTCTCTGACCCTACCTGCCAAGGACCACCATGAGAACAGCACAATCCCCCAGCACCCCAGGGCCAGCCGAGTGACAGGGACCTCCCCAAAGCCAGCAGAGCAGCTTCCAACCACACCAGTGCTTCCCACACCCTGCCTGGGCTGTGCTTCATGGCGGGGGTAAGCAAACACCCATCCTTGCCCCACTGGGGCCTGGGATCTATCTCATGCTAGACATGACTAGGGAAGAGCAAAGAACATGAAGCTCCCCTGCTGTGCCAGTCATCCACTGCTGTGCTCCTCACTCACCTCCTCATTGTCGTAGAGTGCAATGAGACGCACGTTGGGCTCCTGCGAAAGGGAGGAGGGTGCTGCACATGAGTCAATCAAGGCCTGCAGGAGTATAGGAGAAAGAACACCAGCTTGAGCGCCATCCTATCCCTGGAAGCTCAGCACTGAGCAGGAACTTCCCCAGAAGAGCCCAAAGCACCAAGGAAAGGAGCTTTGGGCACACACATTAGCCAGCAAGAGCAGGAGTCTCCGCTGGAAGCTGCTGGGAGCCCCACACACCCAGCAAAGCGGGCAGTCCCCAGTCCCAACCCAGACCCTTCAACAAGCCAGACCCACCCCACAGGAACACACCTCCTTGCAGTGCCTCAGGGTGGCTCATGGCCCTGATAAGCCAAGCCATGGTGCACAGAGGCCACACTGCAGCCTCCAGTGTCTTCTGCCCTCATGCTCACCTGCAGGGCGCAGTAGCAGCTGTGCAGGTTGTCCAGGCGTGGGGAGAAGATGAACTCGTCAAAGGCACCACCCAGTGTCTGCAGGCAGAGAGCCAGGAGAAACAGGGCTGAGTCACCAAAAAGTACCTGCCGCTGGGTCCCAATACCAGTCCCCTCCTCTCTGCCCCCCCGGAGCTGCCTCCTCTCATTCCACTCAGCTCCCAGCCCTGGAATGCTCCGGGCAGAGGAAGTGTGCCAGGCAAAACCTGTGCAGTGCCAGCCCTTAGGCTACATGCAGGCAGAGCAAGGCTCCTGCCCTTACTCACCGCTGGCTGCGTATCTGCGAGGCATAGTTCCAGCTCCACAATCTGCTCTGGTTTCACCCCCAGCTGGGGGCAGAGCAGGGACAGCAGGACAGGGCTGTGCCGCTCTGCCTGGGAAGAAAGCGGAGCCGCAGGTAGGGCAGGCAGTGGATGGCTGGGGAAACTCCCTGCTTCCCCTGGCAGAGCTGTCCCACACCCCACTAAGGTTGGCCCGGTCCTCCCTCCTACTAACATGTCTCATGGTCAAGCCCCCATCTCATATAGGATAGCAGGGCCATTGGCAAGGCACAAGAAGGGGCTCTCTGCCTCCTGTACAATTCCCCTTCCCTGTCCTGCCTCCCCAGGAAGTCTGTGACAGCCTTATGGGGGCTGCACCCCATAAAGTTGCAAACCAGGGTGGGAAGGGATTGATGGCTGAGCAGATGAGTCAAGTACCCAACTCTGGGGCAAAGTGGAAGTTTACCAGCAGTCTATGGGGAGAAGGGGAACCTGCCAGCAGGTCCATGAGGACTAGAAATCAAAGGTGACAAGTGCGAGGTCCTAGCAAGCACCCCTGCCAGTCCTTGGCACCCAACTCACCTGGGCCGCAGCATCACAAGGTGTGGCCTCCATGAGGACCTCCTTTTTCAGCTCCTCCTGCACAGCAGTGGCCAGAATGGGAACCCTGTGGGGCAACAGTGCTGTTAGCTCCCATGGCTTTGGTCACCTCTCCTGCTTGGGTCACACACAACCAACACTTCTGGTGGTGCTTGCCTTGCTCCTCCAGGGAGCGACTGCCACACCAAACAGAGCAAGGACACAGAACGTTTCAGGCACATATCTGTTGTGCCACCTCAGGACACCCCAGTGTCCCTTCCCAAGTCCCAGGCTTGGAAGCACCTCCTGGGAGAACTCTATGGGGCTTAGAAAAGCCATTGCAGACCTCCCCACTGTGACAAGCAGCTGCCAAAGGGAGAGAGCTGAGGCTAGGCACTACTCCAGCTGGGTCGCAGCCCTCCCAAGGGCTGAGCCAGGCCTTACAGGTGGTGCTCGGTGTTGGGCCCGAAGTTCTCATTGATGCTGCGCTGCAGATGGATGGCCAGGTGGGGAATGCGGAGGACAGGCCGCTCCACACATACCAGGCGGTGCTCCAGGCGCCCTGTGACCGGGTCCTGAAATACAAGGAGGGTGGCTGGAGCCAGGC